GTAAGGCACCTAGAGTGCTCGAAATGACTAGATAGGCGGGGTATAAATACAATAAATAACAATAATAACAATAATAACAATAGCAATAATAACAATAACTAATCATCATCATCATCATCAATTTACTATATTCTAATTTTTGGTGGCCAAAATAATTTTTTTTCCTTGTCTCAAAGTCCTTCACCACACAGAGCAGGAATGAACATTGGAACAAAGCAGGTACTCCATCACTGAACTATGCCATTTTCATAGCATAGTAGTCTCTTGCTTTATCTATCCAAAACAAACTTATTAGCCCTTGGGCTAGATAGGTAATTAACCGCCCCCAAACACTGGTGTATATTATGCAGAAGTTCTTATATTCCTTTCTAGACACAAGAGATCCTGGTCTATTATCTCCAAAGGTTATTCCCTCTTGGGTTGATTTGATTTAAATCAAATTAAATTAATCAAATCAATTTGTTTTAATTAATTTGATTTAAATCAAATCAAATCAAATCAAATTAAAAGTGGGATTTTGCTGATTTAAATTTAAAAAATCATTTTTTAAAATTGTAATTTAAATCAATTTGATTTTTTTAAATTGGTTTTTATGTGCCCTGCCCCCACCCCCAATTAGCAGCCCCACCTACTTTTCTGAAAATCATGAATGTGGAACTCTGGGAGATAAACCTCTTTTTCACATGCCTCTTCCTCAATAAAAACACATGCACTCCTAAGGCACTGTTAGTTTACAGGGATGGATGAAGAGAAAAATGATCTATCTATACCTGTTTTTAACTCCCACATAGCTAACAACATATTCACGGCCTCCTGTATCTGATTTGGCCTTTACAACTACAGTAGTCTGCAAGAAGTATAATGTTGAAAATCTTCACATTGGATTAACCCTGCTGTTGGACCCAGTCAGACACCTAGGACAACTGAACAGATGCTGACAGAAGCATGGTGGTGAAGTTGGGAAGAGGTTGTGGACAAGCTGCACAAAAAAAGTCTTGCTCATCCCTTTTATTCAAAAGAGGTTGTGGACAAGTTGTGGGTTTACGCTGCACAAAAAAAAGTCTTGCTCATCCCTTTTATTCAAAGCTGACAAGCACCTACCTGCTGTTGCACTGGTAACTGCTGTACCACTTGGGTGGGCACAGCTGCCTGCCCAGCTACAGAAGTCTGTAAAGTCACTGTCGAACCTGTGTCTGACCCAGTCTCTGACGTCTGCATTGTAGTATCTGTTTAAAAAGAACGACGACACACTGAGCGTTGCACTTATTTTGCACTTTTTGCCACTTTTTATTTCTGGGACTGTCCAGCTTGCCCATGAGTACACATCTTTGCTCATCTTTGCACAGTGTGCAAAACAAACTCCCAACCATTGGCTCTACCGCCAGATAAATAAATCATTCAGCTATCCAACCAGCGAAGATAGCATCAACAATTATTAATAATTAAGGATCAGTACAAAATTAAGCAATAAAAAGTCTGCCCTCTGCATTTTAAACAATAGATGTAAAAATCATTTATGAAATTGTACAATCATTACAGAAAAGGTGCTTTGGAAAATAATGACCACTTGTCATGTTCTCCTTCGAAATCTAAAGCTTCTTTGAAAACATGTCAGCTCAAAATTGAGGAGATACTACCAACAGATCAGTCTTCAGCCATGATTCTAGAGAATTAACTCATTCGTGAGAGGTCTGATTTCTCTACAAGTTCTGCAAGAAACATATGCCAAGTAGTGGTAGCAGTGATCTTCATTTGACAAAGATGTTTGTGCAAGCAGAGGATCCCATGTTATTAAGGTGACAGAGCCTTAGATTCCACTTGTCTGCTGGGATCCTGGCCTGCAGATAGTAAAGTATTCTAGCAGCTTAAGGGCCCATCCATAACATAGCTGCAGAATGCTATGCTGCAGGAAGCTCTCCTGATGCTTCCAGCTGCTTCATCTCTTACGTATCTCACCAACAGTCATACAACAAAATTCATTCATTCATTCTGCACCATTTAGTGGCGTTGCTCCTACTCTGGGTGGTTTTCAACAATAAAATAAGCATAAAGAAAACTACATCCCACCCAATGTCAAAAATATAAATGAAGGAATATAATAATAAAAGACAAAAAAACTAAAAATCAAGATGGCAGCAGTAGGACTTGTTTCTAAATGATAAGGAAACCACAAGGACTTTGATGGGTAGGAGAGAATAAATCATGGCTTATAAAAATGTTGGGAGAGCAACTAGGATCAGGGGAAGCGACGTTCTCTTGACATTTTCATCTGCCCACTTCATAGTTTTAATATGACCTTGGAAAATTGTTAAATATTATGAAAAGATACACCTTTTCTCCAATGCTAATTAATATCCTAACCCTTCCCCTGGAGCTTTAAACTAATAGATAAGATCTGACTCTGCATAATTTTCAAATATACACCTTACTTAGCAAAAAATAAAAAATAGTGAAGAAGATTAATTAAATCCAATTGTTTAAAAAGTTATTTTTAAATACTGCTTTAGTCATTCTGAAGACTGCTTTAGTACTGTAATAGGGGATTCTTATAAATATCAATTCAAATGTAAATCCTATGGAGTTCACAGCTAACTGTATAAAGAAATGCAGCATAAAATATTAAAATGTGCATGCTTCCTATCCTTTTTTTTCCAAAGAGAAAACATATCGTTAATAACAACATATATTTTCTTTTCATGTGATGATCAATCTTTAAGAAGTATAACAAGACAAAAGTTGTAAAGTGCACCTCTGAATTAAGTTTCAAGAATATTTCCAAGTATTGAATTTATGCATACTTTTACCTCATATAATCTCCAAAGGTTCAAACCAATACATAAACAACTATGCCAATGAACATACAGTGGAACCTCTACTTACGAACATCCCTACCTGTGAACATTTCAACTTACAAACAGCTCCGTCTGCAAAATTTTGCCTCTACTTGCGAACGGAGCTTCAACGTACGAACGAAAAAAGGCAGGGGAAAAGGGCAGGAAATTTAAATTTGCTAACCGTTGGAGATGAAGAGGCCGCTTTTTTGTAGCTCATTCCCCCCAACAGTTAGGAAAAGGAAGGCTCAGCCCCCCGGGTTTCCAGCGCTGCTGTTACTGCCACCGGGAGGCAAGCCGCTGGACTATCCCGGCTGGGCTCAGCCTCCCGGGCTTCCACTGCTGCCACCACAGGCTCACTACAAGCACCGCCTTTCTCCGCCACAGTGCAAGTTGTCGGCCGCCATGGGAGGCTTTCCCGGGGCTCGCCGCAAGCGGCACCTTTCTCCGCTGCTGGGCCAGGGTTTCCACACCACCGACACAGGCTTTCCCAGGGTAGACCTGGTCTACCCCAGGAAAGCCTGTGTTGGTGGCGCGGAAACCCTGGCCCGGAAGCAGATGGCGGCAAAGAAAGGCAGCGCTTGCGGTGAGCTCCGGGAAAGCCTTCCATGGCGGTGGAGATGCCGTGCAGTGGGGGAGAAAGGCGGTGCTTGCAGTGAACCCTGGGAAAGCCTCTGATGGCGGCAGAGAACTGCTGGCCTGGCAGTGGTGGCTGGAGCCTGGGAGGCCTCCTGGCAGAGGCAGTTGCGGCGATGGAGGTGCTGCTTTTTGCTTTTTTAAAAACTTTTTTTTTGTCTTTTGCAGGGTGGGATTGGGCTGGTGGGGTTATATTTCTGTTTAATTTTGGATTTGTTTTGTTTTTTGCAGCCCCAAGGGCTTGGAGTGTTTTATTTTTATTTTGGGGGATATTTTTTTCTTTTGGCTGGAATGGATAAATCAGTTTTCAAAGCATTCCTATGGGAAATGGTGCTTCTACTTACGAAAATTTCAACTTATGAACATCATCTGGGACGGATTAAGTTCGTAAGTAGAGGTTCCACTGCATACATATACAGAAGTCAGCACATGGTTCAATCATATACAGCTTGTAATTTGAGGAAGTGATCCTGAAATCTGAGGAGATGACATCTCCTTTCTTGGCCCATGAATTGCCCAAAGTCCAATACATGGGTTGAAATTCTCACTTAGTCATAAACTTCACAAACCAACTATTTCTTCCTATGAGAAGGCAGTATTTAAGACCTTCCTCATAAGATTTAAGGACAGTAACTATGAGACACTGTGCTTACTGCTACTTCCATCATTTTCTATTTGCCTGTTCCATGTATCAAATGACACTGGTATCATACTGTGAAGTAACTGTTAGCACAATTCTTTTATTGTACTTTTAAAAATTTGATATCTATCACACCATAATTAATATATTCTGAACCTAAAGAACACTATGCTGTTTTATAATAATGCCACATGTATACAAACAAACTGTATATGTTCATAGGAAAGACATGCTCAGCTCCTATCTATCCATCCTTGCCTAATGTGGCTATCAGGTGTGTCACCAGCAACAGATGCTTGTTTGACAAAAGACCTTTTCATTCTGGTTAATTAAGCAGCTGGACACACCCTCCTGTTAACGGGTCTGCTTTATGGAATCAGCAGTAGCTGAATCATGTGGATCTACAGATAAATAGGTCACATTTTGAAAGAAAGCTAATTAACCCCTAGAAGACGAAAAGAATATTGCACAAACCCAGCTGCTGATTGTGACAAGATTAGCATTTCTTCAATTTAAGCAATAGTGTTTGGAACACATGTTTTATTACAAAATTTCTCTCCTTCACCATTCTTTGAAAAAACTATTCGGGGTTATTTAATACCCTGAATACGCTAAAGATGCACAACGGGGATCCTTCTGTCTTCTGTGCCTTATACACCAGAATGAATGGTTTTACAATCTGATCCATCAATTACCTAGCAAATCACACAGTGCAAATATGCCATCTTAATAGTAACTATTTTTAGCAAGCCGTTTCATCAGCAACTAATTTGCTATTCTAAACTCCACAGTTTGCAAGTTGTTGCACTGCGTCTACTTTAATGGCTATATTAAATGATGTTACAGGTTCTTAATTCAGTACAGAAATTAAAAGCCAGTAATTTCCATTAAAGTATGTGAATATTTCTCTTTATTTTCCCCCCTCTTCGAAGCATGAAAAACCATCTCTAGCTAAAAAGTGAACTAATTTGATTAATCGCATTGAAGCAAGGGAGTTTAATTATAGAACACATCCACAAATAGGCAGAATTTTACAGTGAATTCTTCTAGAACAATATAATGCTTACAATGGTTAAGTACAGATAAATTATTTAGTGCAAAGTATGAAGCTGCTCTTTTACTTAAAAAAGTGTACGGACAAATGCTGAAAACGGAGGATAAAAAAAACTTTAATGCACTGGGAACTGATTCATTATTATGAAAAGAAAGAAGCAGACAAAATGGCTTTGCTTTTAAAAGCCAGAAGATCAATGTAAGCCATAATAAAATTACATGATTGGTGCATAGGCCTAGAGGATTAGGTTAACAGGCAATTTATAAATATAAATATAAATACAAGGCAGTGGATTTATGACTACTGCTACATGAAGTTTCTAAAAGTCTTATATTCATTGCAAAAGTTACCTTTGCAGCTGAGATATCAAAGAATGGTTCTGTAAAGCTAGAGCAAACACGAAAAGAGAAACTAATATTTCTGATAGGGCACATTTAAATAATTTTTCTCCCCACCCCCACCCCTTTTTTTACTTTGAAAAGCTTCTTCCTAGTCTAATCAAGAAATAAGAGTATACTAAAAGGTCTTGAAGCAAATTTGGCAACATACTTGTATTTTTGAAAATACATAAAACACTCACTTGTCATCACTCATATGGCAATACCCAGACAGCCATGCTGGTGCTTCCTTTCTTGTGCTGCACAGATGGTTTTATTGTAAACCAATACTACACAACCAACCTTTTGCCCTGATCCAGCACTAGCATTTTGTAATTACACATCACTATTAGAACAAGCTATGGACAAGACAACACATTTCGCAGAAAATAAGCAAAAAAAAAATCTTATGAAACGTGTACACTTCTATATACATGTGATGCAGCCATTGGAATGAACCAGTACATGTAGGGTGACCCTAAAGAAAAATGGTATTTCCAATCTGCCCCACCCTGCCCTGATATACTAAACAGATCAGTGGAAGCTCAGCAGAACAACAGACAGTGAGTAGTGAAAAATAATAGCATGAGAAACTAATTGCCCTAGTGTATACACAAAAGCAGCTGAGGTTCACGCAAGTTACATCTTCCTTGTCCTTTGTCATTTGCTTAGGGAATGGCTATACTAG